CCCATGAGCAAGTACTCACAGTTGCAGCCTCTCCTATCCCTCAGGAAATACTATTTATGGAGAAGTATGGGTTATTATGAGATGGTATAAGGTGGGGGGAAAATGCTCAACTTGGATCTGCATGTAGAAGATTTTGCAATGGAGAAGCGGTGGGAGTCACTTATATAAAATTTGTGAGTCTAAGGGGGGCGTTGCTGGCTCCATGATGCTGATGAGCAGCATAGTCTCCTGTGAGTGAGTGGATCACAGCAATATGTTCTCCAGAGACTCCAGGGGATGAGGGATACTTGAGGGGAAGCAGCATGTTCCTGGCACTAGTAGCAGCTACACACATCATTCCAAGCCCTCAGACAGGCCTCACTGGGGTCACCTGCACTCTGCCCAACCCTGGTTCCATGTCCAGCAAAACCCATGCGTGTGCAGGCAGGCCTGTCCCAGACTTATTACCCAAAATTCTTGTTGAGCATATCAGCCACAAAATGCTCCTCCTCATAGCTGGCCAGGCTCAGCAGCTGGGCCCCCACCTCCTGACAGGCCCCCTGGGCCTGGATCCAGCTCTTCTTGTCCTGCAGCCGTTCTGAGCTGAACACCTGCAGGAGCAGAGTCCCACTGTTTAAGCTGTCCCCATCGGCCCACCTCCCCAGGGGGCCCCTGCTGCCCAACCCATGACAGCAGGGGAGGGGGGCTGGGGCCTCACTGGACAAGGGGCTCAGACTAGCTAAGGACAATCCTGCTCATCAGAGAATAAGCCCCAGGGGAAGGGAGCTGGCACAGTCAGCTCCTGGACAGTGCCCCCGTGTCCCATCCCCTAACCAGTGGTGAGTTCTGGGCTTTAATCCCAGCAGAGGCACAGCTTGCTGTGAGCAACCCTCTTCCTAAGCTTCCTAACCGTCTTCCTAAGCTTCCATTTCTGCACATAATAAAAGAACTTGGACTATGTCAGTGGCTCCCAAACCTGGTAGGGTTCAAAAATACAGATTGCCAGGCCCCACCCAGACCCACTGAATCCAGATCTCCCAACCCTCTTCCTAAGCTTCCATTTCTGCACATAATAAAAGAACTTGGACTATGTCAGTGGCTCCCAAATCTGGTAGGGTTCAAAAATACAGATTGCCAGGCCCCACCCAGACCCACTGAATCCAGATCTCCAGAGTGGCAGCCTAGATTTTAATCAGGGTCCCCAGGTGATTCTGAAGAACAGCTAGGCTGGCTCCAACATTTGGGAACCTCTGAAAACAATGATCTCTGTGGCTCCTTCAATTCCTCACATGCACCAGGCCTCAAATTCCACTGACAAGAAATTACCTCTGTCTACAACCTAATGTGGTGTCTCTGGATGATGGCTGTCCCCACTGGGACCCCCCAGGTGAGCCACCTCTTTGCTCTTGCCCTCCTTCTTCCCCCACATGACAACAGGCTGCCCTACCTTATAGCAGTACCGGAGTTTGGGGTCCGAGGCCCAGCCCTGGGGACAGGAGCCAGTGAGGCTGGGTGTGGGGTCTGGCCCCGGCAGCTCTGGCGTCACTGGTGTGCCCAGACTCTGCCGGCAGATGTAGCGAGCCCGGAACGAGGTGCAGTTCTTCACCTCCCACAGCCCCATGGCGCTGCCCGTGGCCAGGGCCACACAGCCCCCACGGCTGTACCCTGAGGGAGGGAGGAAGAGCCACACGCTGAGGAGGAAGACTCATGGCTCGTCCTCTCTGACACCTCTGCAGGGCACCACCACGGCCCTCACACTGGGAACCAGCTTGGCTGTGTCCGTGGGTTCAGGGCCCAGGCAGGAGGAAGGGACTGGAGGCAGAGTCCTTGCTCTATGCTTACTTGCTGTGAGGTCTTAGGCGAGTTGCTTAACCTTTCTGAGCCTGTCTCATTATTGACCTCATTAAGTTATTAAAAGGGTTAAAAAGATAAGGAATGTGAAGTGGAAATAACAGTAACAGCAAGCACTTGTACTATGCTCACTATTCTAAGCACGTTATGTATATTAATTCTTTCTATATATTAGTACTTTATGCATGTTTAAGCCTCACATCAACCCTATGAGGAAGGTACCATTATCCTCACTTGACAGATGAGGAAACTGAGGCTCCGAGGAGGCACACCTAGTAAAGAGCAGAGTCAGGGTCTGAGCCTGGCAGTGTGGCTCCAGAGCCTGTGCTCCTAACCATTACCCCACGCTGTACAAGTGATCAGTGGACTGTGAAGCCCGGGGGCTCAGTCCTGGCAGGGCAGATCCCCCATCGGCCTCCCAGCTTCACCAGGGCAAGTCAAAGAAGGGCACTGGCGGGTGCCGTGGGGAGGGGCTCACCAGGCTGGTCCCGGTTCCAGTGGGTGTACGTGACCTCATCCCCACTGAGCCAGCAGAAGGAGCCAGTGCCGTTGAGGTCCTGCAGGGCCGTCCAGAAGTACTCGCCCTCCCAATTGTAGATGAGGCTGCTGACAAAGGCCTGCTCGAACCTTCGGGAGACAGGCTGGTGAAGGCAGGGAGCTCACACCCCGCCCCCCACTCCCCGGGCCACAGGCCAGACACCCTGCCCTGGAAGCTTGGGTGCTGCGCCCAGCCAACAACTTTCTCAGGGAAGTGGGGACCCCTGGAGGCCCTGCAGCTGACTCACAGAGCACCCAGCTCCCCCTTCTACTCTCTGCACCCCTTGCCTTGCTGAGAAGAAAGCAGAGAAAAGCAGACACAGCCAAGGTTTCCTTGGGCATCCAGCCCATATCTAAGCCTGCTCCTGCCCCACACCGTGGTCGCTTAACAAATGAGAGTTATTCTTGTGACAAGATTTTTAGAAGGCCCTGGAGGCCAGTAAGGCTCAAAGGACCCCAGGTCCCCCTGGGCATGCTGGCAAGATGCTACCCTGTTTGGTGGAAGGGCCACATTAGGCCAGGACATAGGTAAGGGCTGGTCAGGACATCTACCCCCTCCTGTACCTGTTGGTGATGGTGACCAGCTGAGAGCCGTGGTCAGTGCACAGGCGCCGGGCCTCACTGTAGGGCACCTGGTCCTCTCCCAGCCAGTAGCAGGATGGGCTGTGCCATGTCCAACCCTGGCTCAAGAGAGTGGGCAGAAGAGGAATGTCTGTGGAGAGGACCCTTGTCCACAAATCCTGGGGCAGGGATGCCATCGGGGCATCACTGAGTGTGCACAGGACAGCGGGGACTGGTTTGACCCCTGAGATGGCAGTTCCTGTGCTGTGTTCTGCACCTGGTCTCTCTCCACTCCCCCCTCCCCACCGTTACCCACAACTGTCAGACCAGGGGTGGAGGCATGGCCCCAGGGTGGCATGGCTCAAAAAGATGAATGGCCCATCAGACTCCTCTCCTGGGCACTTAATCCAAGAGACACAGTGGGGAAATTGCCGATTGGCTGGGAAACCAGAGCTGAAAAGCTGGCGACAGTAGCCAGGATGTGGAGGGGCTGGGTGAAAGATGAATGGCCCATCAGACTCCTCTCCTGGGCACTTAATCCAAGAGACACAGTGGGGAAATTGCCAATTGGCTGGGAAACCAGAGCTGAAAAGCTGGCGACAGTAGCCAGGATGTGGAGGGGCTGGGTAATCCTCAGGGGCCTGGAAAACTGGAGTCAGCGAAGGATGTGCCCGGCCTGGGGGTGGGAGGGAGGGGCAGAGAAGCTGCAGAGAAGAGACCACCGTAGCCACGGTGTCAACTCCGAGCAGCTGGCAGGAGCCGGGGCAGAAGGGAAGCAGGGGTGATGTGTGTGTGGTGGGGAAGCCCCATATGCCTGGCAGGGGCTGTGCTAAGACCCCTGGTGATCTGAGTGTTAACTGTGGCCACGCAACATCCCCCAACACACACATTCCAGGCAGGCCAGTGCCAGGGCAATTAGTAATTCCTCTCCACCCCCAACCTCCACCTCACAGAACCGGGACAGAGCCCCTGGGCCAGGCCTGATCATTCTGGTCCCCAAACTCCTCAGCTGGGCTCCTGTCTGCTCCTCCTTAGGGGAGGGTTTGGGATGCGGGTGGAGCGGGGTGTGGTAAGGGGCTTCATCCAAAGGAAAACAGAGAAGCCAGACTGGCAGCAAGGGGATGGGGGAGGGGCCAAAAGGCCACAGAGTGTCCTTTATGAACAACCTCCCCGCACCCGTTCACACCACTCACGCCCCGGCTGGCTGTGGGGCTGTAGAGAATTGAACTATGTCCCCCCAAAACTCATCGAAGCCTGAATTGTGTCCCCCAAGTTTTATGTATTAGAAACTTAGTCCCCACGGTGACTGTTCACAGGGTGAGAAATCCTGTTATGGTAACTGAAAGCCTTGAAGAGGCTTGAAGAGGTGATTGGATTGTAGGACCCTGCAGTAGTGAATGGATTAAAAACGGTGGTCAGGGGTGTGGTTCTGAGGACTTTAAAAGAAGAGGAGAGTCTGTCTGTCTCTCTCTCTGCTCTGCCATTTCGCAGTGTGAGACCCTGCCATCGCTGAAGCCACCACCAAAGAAAGCCCTCACCAGATGTGTTCCTTGGACTCTGGACTTTCTAGCCTCAGAAACCATAAGCAATAAATTTCATTTTCTTTATAAATCACCCAGTTTCAGGTATATTGTTTTAAGCAACAGAAACGGACTAACATAGAGGCCATGGAAGGGGAGCCTGGGAGGGCCTGGAGGAGGGCGATGGGCCTGTCACCCACCCGTGCCCTCACTCATACACTCACTCCCCCACTCGTTTATTCACCCATTCCTGCCTTAATCCCCTCCCTCCCTCCCTGAGCATCTTCTGGAAGCCCACTGGGGCTGGGAACACAAGGAGCGGGGAGGCACATGGCCACCCAGAGTAGCCTCACTCCTCCAAAGGAGACAGACAAGCACACACTGTTTTAGAAGTGTGGCATGTATCAGCCAAGCCGGGGGTGGGGTTGAGGGGAGCAGGTCCAGAGTGGGGTGCACAGAGGCCACACCTACCCCCAGCAGCCTCCGCTCACCCAGACTGTGCCCACCTCCTTGTCCTCTGCTGCTGCTAGGAAGTGGCTTCCCCACAGAGAGGGGGCTTAGGACTCAGGGTGAGGATTCCATCCACCCCTCTGGCTGGCCCCACCCAGGGCAGCTCCAGAAACACCCTCACCTTGCGGCAGCCGTGGTCCTCCTCAGCGGCCCCCTGGCTCAGCTGGCCTGCTTTCTTGCAGATGGATGGCAAGGATTGGTTACAAGGACTGTCATTCCAGCGGCCTTCCTAAGGACACAAGATGCAGGAGAGTCTCAGCCCCTTCCCCACAAATCTCCCAAACCCTTCTTCGAACCTGGTTTCTCGGCCTGGCCCTGCCTCTGACTTGCTGTGTGGTTCTGACTTGTCTCTGTCCCAGGCTGCACAATGGGGAAGCAGGATTAGCTCAACAGGCCTCACAGGGCTGATGAGAGCACAAACAGTTGATGTGCAAATGCCTGGAAACTTTAACAAGCACCTTCTAAATGGGAAAAGGTGTTCTCTTAAATTATTTATACCTCAGTTTATAAAGAGCAAAAAATAAACTGGCTAAGATCGTTAGAGTGACCAACAGCAGGAGAGACAAATGGGATTCCCAAGGTGTCCAGCTAGTACCTACAGAGCCAGGGTGAGTGGAGGCCATTGTGCCCAGACCCGAATCTCAGCTGCTGAAGCTGAAGAGGAATTTAGTCCTTAGCCCCCCTCAGTACCCACAGCTTCCCAGCCAGCAGTGTCTGCTTTTAAGCACCATCCTGAAGGCAAAAGTGTTTGTGTATCACAGCAACCAGAAAAATGCCTGGCACCTAGTAGACACTCAATAAATAGTTGCTTTTAAATTTTTAAATAGCATCCTCTAAGGCAAATGGCTCCGCCGCTACAGTCCCTGGCACTATTTGCAGTATCTGACAGCAGAATGTCCTACCTGTCCCTGGGATGGGCAATCTGTCCCTATGGCTATGTCCCTTTTTAAAGGGTCTCTTAGCTCCGCTTGAAGCCCTACATCAATTCCTTCCCTACCCACACCATGTCTAAGCCAAAACCATGGCAAATAGTTGTAACCCCATAATTTCTTGGAAGACAGGACCCTGGGCTGGTAGGGTACAAGGGACGAGGGCTGGCAGAGAGCAGGCCTGCTTCAGGAGAATCTCCACATAGTGTGGGTTCTGATGCCACCTGCTGGCAGGGAAGAGCAGCTGGCAGGAGATCAAGATGTGCCAGGCAACCCTCTACTAACTTGCCCGAGATGACTCAGCTCTTTGGGGGTGGAGGTGGGATTCAAGCCCTGGCAGTTTTTCCATGTGGAAGGGAAGGGATTGGTGGGGATGTGGGGACTGCTAAGAGGACAATTAGGGGGGGTGTCATGGGCAGGCACTGATAGTAGGATATCCTTTAGCTGGGGCAACACCAGGAGGGCGGGGTGATGGGGGGTCTCACCGGGCCCCAGATGGTGACACAGTCCTCCAGGCTGTCCCGGAAGTTGTTGGGCTCAAAGGGGTGCCAGTGGGTAAAGCTCACAAGGCTCCCATCAGACCATTCAAAATTCATCTGAAGTTTCAAATCGTTGAGGCCGATCCATAGCTCCTCCACCTCTGGGGGTGCATCAGGAGAGGAGGGGAGAGAAGACAATGAGAGATCACCCTTAGCCACCAGCAGGGGAGGAAGGGACATTCTCTGAGCCTCCTGGGCAGGACTGGATGGGTGGTGGGAGGCCCTGCCCTCCCCGGATGTGTGGACAGGCAGCCTCTCACCTTGCTTGATTTGCTTGGTGATGAACTCCAGCTCTGCCATGCTGTGGATGCTGAGCAGGTCGCCACCACCCCGCAGACACGCCTTTTTGGACTCCTGCCAGCTGCGCTTCTCGGCCTGCAGGCGGTAGCAGTGACCCTGGAAGGGCTGCCAGCTGGGCTCGCACTCCACCTTCACGTTGGCCCACCTGTCTGCAGAGACCCACAAGGCCACTGATCAGAGGCCCATCCACCCAGTCTGGACACCAACCCACTGGTGTCAGCACAGACAGTGCCTCCAAGTCACCTCCTCCCCAAACCTATCCCACACATCAGCCCTCCCCACCAGGTCAGGGAGATGCTGAAAAGAAAACTCTCCAGGGCTGCTGCAGGCCCAGGGCCAGAGACCCAATGGTGGTGGAAGATTCCACCCAGGACAGGGCAGCCCCTCTGGCTGCAGCTCTCAGAAAGAGATGGGCGGAGAGTCAGGACACACCAGCTCACCCCGTGAGCCTGTTTCTTGTTCCATAAATGAGGTTTCCTGCCATGGGATTCAAACTTAGCTCCTGGCCACCTTGCTTAATAAATGGAACCATCATTTATTATTTGTTATTTCTCTCAAATAAGACTTATTGAGCACCGACTTTGTGCTAGCTTGGGCAGTCCTGGATGAAGGGAATAGGGACACGGGGCCTTGACCCACTAATGGGGCCCAGCGGGCCCACCAGGGGTCTGAGGCCGTGGTGGGCGGGTGGTCAGGAACATCACGGGGTGCACAGTCACTGCCGACTGGCCACATCCCCTGGCTGGGACTCCTCCTCTTACCCCCAACTCCTCTCCCTGCGCCCCAGGGCTGAGAACCGGCCGTTCCGCCCTCCCTGCCCCCACCTCGCGTGCTTTCCAGGTTCACCCTCTAGGGATTGGGGTCCGAGGGCAGCGGAGGCAAACGAGCCCTCGCTCGGGTCTTGGCAAGAGAGAACAGGCCCTCACCAAACCCCCACAGTGCCAGGCTCGGGCAGGATTCTGCCGGGCCGGGCGGGAAAGCGTGTGCGCACTCGAAGCTTCGCCGGGCCTGGGATGCGCGGACCCGCTCCGCCGGGCAGACCGCTCCGGGCTCCAGCCGCAGCTCTTCCCGGAGACCCGGCGCGGTGGGTGGGGCTGAGAGCCTGGGCGGGCTCGCTCCTTGGCTCAGGAACTGCCAATCATCTCTTGTTGGCCAATGAGCTAAGGCCCGAGGCTGCCGCCCCAGGCAGAACACTATTTCAGCGGCTGTTCAGAACCGAGAGGTAGCGCCGGAAATGGAGATGCCCAGGAAAATTGGGTGCTTTCGGGGCACGATGGCGTCTGCCTTGGTGCATGACATGCCGTAAGTGATGAGACCCGGAAGGCAGAGCTCGCCCGAACAACTGCTAGAATATGCCTCATGCAGAGATGTGGGCTGGGGTGAGGGGAGGAAATCCGACGACACAGACATCCGCAGGTCCGCAAGGCCACGGAGGAGGAGTCCCCTCAAGAGCCACACTGGGAAGGCCCAGGGCCCAGTCCCTCCAGGGGACACAAATGGGCTGGGCATGCCCCCGCCCAACCCTCCCCCTGGGTCTCCCTTCCTTAAGAAAGCTGCTTCTGGGCAGACCTGGGCTTGGTGCCCGCCCCAGGCTCCCTCCGGCTAGAGGTGGGGGGCCCTAGATGCTCCTGGCTGTGATATTTCAAGACTCTGCTCCTGACCCCCTAGGGGGTGGGAGGAGAAAGCAGTGGCCGACAATGCTCAATCTTGGGCAAGACTTCAATTGCCAGGAGCAGTTTTGCTCTGTAAGCTCTTTACTTCCTGGGGTTTGTGATTTTTCTGGTTTTGCCATATTTTCTTTGTAAAAATCCCCTCATCGCCATCCCCACAGCTGTAACCCCTCCAACCTACACTGATAAAACACCATCCACTGCCACCTACAGAGACTTCTGTTCCAGGACAGATCTCCAGCCTTATTCACAACCCTGTTAAGGGGGTGAAGTTTATTCTCAATTTTCAGGTGAGGACTCTGAGCTGCTTACTGAAGGCCACACACCAGTAAGGGACACAGTCCCCAAAGCCGGCCGTGCCCATTGCCCCAAATTCCTCTATGAGACCTCAGAGCTACCTCTATGAATCACAAATGTGAGAAAGACACTCCCTGGCTTAAAAACCTGCAAAGGCTCCCCACAACCTGCCTGGCCCCACCCAAACTTCGCCCAGCAGCCAAGACCCTTCAGGGACTGGCTGCAACCTGCCTTTCTGAACTCTTTTTTCCCATGCCCTCTAAGCCAGTGTTCCTCAACCTGTACTTGTACATGAATCACCCAGGGATCTTGTTAAACGCAGGTTCTGATTCAATCAATCTGGGGAGGGGCTTCTCTGCATTTCTCTTTTCTTTTTTTTGGCTGGCCGGGAAGGTGATCCTTACCCTTGAGGAGTGCATTCTAATAAGCTCGGGGGTGATGCTGTGCTGCTGGTCTAAGTAGAGTCTACATTCCAGCCAAACTACAATACTCACCATCCCCTACAGCCGCTAAGGACTCCGTGCCTCCATGCCTTTGCACATGCAGCTCCTGCTCCAGGGAGTGCCCTTCCCCCACACCTCTTCATGACTTTTAAATTTACATTCATGCCTTTGCACATGCAGCTCCTGCTCCAGGGAGTGCCCTTCCCCCACACCTCTTCATGACTTTTAAATTTACATTCAACTTGAAAGGCCTAAATCAAATGTCACTCCCATAAAACCCTCCTTAATTCTTGGAAGCTTAATCAGTTTTTTCTCTAGTCCCCTCTGACACTTATTAAGCACATTTCTAAAATGGCCTATAACTCAGGATATTCGAATTGTGTGTTGAGATGTCTGTGACCTCCAGTAGACTGTGGTCTCCACAGAGTATTGCTGAGTATTGTCAGCATTTAACACAGTTTTCAACAAATGTTCCCGGAATGAATAACTGGCACGTTCCAGTCTGTTCAGACTTTAGTTGAACAATTAAATAAGAACAGGGAGGATGAGAGGAAAGGCTGGGCCGGCAGGGGCTGTGGCCAGGATGAGCCCCCGCCCCACCCTGCGGGCCAGACCTCGGCTCACCTGGCAGGGTGGGCTGGGCGGCGGTGGCGTTGGGCTTCTTCTTGCACACATAGGGCAGCGCGATGCTGCAGTCGCGGTTCTGCCAGCCGCCGGATGACTCGGTGCGGATCACCCCACAGTTCTCTTCGCTAGGGTTGTCGGGCTGATCTGCAGGGAGAACAGGGATCCCGCACCCCAGGGGAGAGATGCTCACACCGTGGCTCCTGGGGCCTGCTCACCCCACCCCGACTCCCTCTGCTCCCTGCGCAGCCTGAGCCAGCTCGAGAGGCCCGGCCCCGCCTTGGCTCCGGCTCCACCGCAGGGTCCTCATTGCATCCTCACCCGGGCCCGCATGGTGCTGAACTCTCTACCCAGCAACCAGCTCCAGCCCGGCCTCCCTGGCCAGGCGGCTAGCTGCGCTGCTCATGGCCCAAAACTGCGGCTGAAGGGGTGAGTGGAGGCCGCAATCCAGGCCACTCTCCAGTCTGGGAGCTGGGGCCAGAGCCACCGAGGCCCGAGGAGGGGGCCGCAGCTCCTGATTGGCACCAAGCACTGCATGGGCTTGAGCGGCCCAGTCCTGGAAGGGTAGTGCTCCCCTCCCCCCCATTGCCTGCCTGGAGTAGGGTAGGGGAGAGGGGTAAAAAGGGGGCTAAGTGCCTGTGGGGGCCCTCTGCCACCCTGTGCCCCCCAACCAGCGCCTCACCACTCTCCCAGTTGAGATACTTGAGGGGCGAGTTGTCCGACCACTGCCAGCCTCCGCTGGTGTCCAGGTCATTCAGGCCAATCCACAGTGTGGAGCTGTACCCCGTGAGGAGCCCTGATGGCAAGAGGGGGACCCAGAGAAGGGGGAGTCCCATCCTTTGCCCTCCCATTCTCTCCACTTGCCCTGCCCCCACCAACAACATTCCCCCTGACCCCCAGCAGAAAGGGCACAGGGGCCTCCAAAGATGGGAGCAGGTCTCAGGCTCCTGGGGCCCCGCCCTGCCCCTAGGGTGGGTCCGACCCCAGCCGACCAGCCCGGGACGGGGCCAGCCGACCAGCCTCACCGTTGATGTAGGTCTGCTCATGGATCTCGGTGATGCTCAGCAGATCCGCCCCCTGCTGCTCGCAACTGGCCCAGGCCTCCCTCCACGACAGCGTGGACTGGAAGTTAAACTGGTAGCAGCTGTCAGTCAGCTGGTCCTTGTCCCAGAAGGTCTCACAGTCATTACCTGCCACGACAACCAGTGGTCCCTCCCCAGCCTTTTCCTTCAGGGCCCACACGGGAGTCTTTCAGGAAGTGCAGAGACCCCACACAGGCTGCTCCATGTAAGAGGATGGACAGCTTCTCCGGTCTGGAAAAGTCCCACCGCCCACACCGAGGTCCCTCCCCAGTTCCTGAACCCAGAATTACCAGCCTCCCTCCAGGCGCCTCCCCGTCCCCCCACCACCCGGCTCTCACTCTTGATGGGACAGAAGCCCCAGCGCTCGTCTTTGCCATAGTCCTGGGTGGTGGCACACCACAGGTGCCCATCCTCACGGCCCGTGCTGGTACAGCCATGGAACCACTGGTTGTCGTATTTGAAGGGGATGGTGCACGGCTTCCCGTGGGAGTTCCCCTGGATGGTGTAGACCTCTGCAGGGAGGGGAACCAGGCCCTTGGCATGCGGACCCCAAGGTGGCCCACCCCCTCACCCCTCAGGGAAAATCTATAACTCAGGGAGCTTGGGTGGGCAGAGATCAGCAGAGAGTGGAAGGGGGGCAAAGGCGCCAGACAGTGGCTTTAAGGCTCCTTCTGGGAGAGGTGAGGTCTTGCCTCACCTCCCGTAGGGCTGGGAAGGGGCTCCCCCAATGCCTGTCCAAAATCCATCGGGGTGAGGGGGACTCAAGTTGCCCACAGAGGGCTGAGTCCAGTGGAATCCCTGCTCAGCTAACCCAGCCCCAGGCTCTATGCCTCCCACCAAAGTTCCATCTTGGAACTCAGGGTGGCTTCCAGGAAAGGACCCCAGCGTGGAGCTGCCCACCATAAGAGGCCCCTCACTGGGTGGCTCGGGTCCCCACTGACCACCTGCAAAAGAGGGATTAAGACACCTGTGGGGGGTTATCATGGGGTCTCCCCCCAGAAAGTGGGCCTGGGAGAAGGGAATTTTCACTTAATATTATGTTATACACTTTTGTGCTGTTTGAAGTCTTTACAAGTTGTGTGTTAATTTTTGAAATCTTTAAAAAAGTAAAATTAAATGCTTTAAAGTTAATTTCCTTAATTATTCAAAAATGCTTCCTATTACAGTTAAAGATGTGACTGCCAAGTGTCCACAGAGGCCAGAGGCCTTGTCCCTGGGGTCTGTCCCTCCATGGCTCCAGTCCCCTGGACACCAGGGACCCCACCCCTCGCCTGCAAGCACCCCCTCACCATAGTAGGGCAGAGCACACAGATCCTCCTCGCTGCCGTAGATGCGCCACTGGCCACCGCGGGTCTGGTCACCACGCTCAAGGGTGCCAGGCTTTGACACATTGCTGGTGCGGGCCCCCAGGAGCAGGGACAGCTGGTCACCCAGGGTACGACAGTGCCACCGAAGATTCACTGCCTCCCGGTCACACTCATACATGCCCAGGGAGGCTGTGATGTTGGTGCCCGGCCAGCCTGTGCCCAGACACTGCATGGCGCCCAGGTTGAAGAGCCGGTTTCGGGAGACCCATTTCCAGCGCTGAGCAGGGAGACTGGCATTGCAGCCTGGGGTGACTCTGACCTGCCCACCCTGGGCCTCCAGGCAGCCCTGAAGTCCATGGCTGAAGATGAGGAAGACGTTGGGTTCTGGAAGGGAAGGCAGTACATGAGCCATCGCAGGGGCTCTTCTGGCTTGCCCTTGACGACTGATGTGGCTTACAGACCAGGTGCCCAGTGCTGGGTTGTGAGCCTTCTCTTGTGTTAAATCACTCAGTCCTTACTACCAACCCTTGAGGTGGGGGTGAGGGCCGTGCTGTGCCTCCATGCCCAGATGAGGCAGAGCCTGGATGGCCAGCCTCTGTTCTAGCCCCAGGCCTACCTGGAGGCAGGACTCTGTCCCCTGTCCCACCCCCAAAAGCTAACCCAGTTCCACAAGGCACAGCAAGGACTGTATACTTTTCTGAAGTTCTCATGGGGAACAGTGGGGGCATTTACATCACACAGCACACTGCAACCGCAACCTCAGTCTGGTACACAGCAGTGGCTTTCTGCCAAAATCCTTCTCTGGCCTGTGGGCATTTTGTCTCTCACTCTTCCCCCTTACCCCTCAGCCTCACTGGTTCCATCTTTTACTCCTTCTAAAATCTTCCCAAACCACTAACCATCCCCCCAATACCTATTTCACACCTTTTTTTTTTTTTTTTTTTTTTTTTTTTTCATGCTTGCCTTATCATCCTTCCATGGAACAGCCAGAATGATCTTTTAAAGATGTAAATCAGTCCTAGAAAAAGGTTTTTTAATATTATCGGAGTGTTGAAGGTCATAAAGAAAACAGTGACAAATTCCATGGCATAAGAAAAATTTTTTAAGGCAAGATAAATGCCACAAGCAAATTCAAAATTCAAATGACAAAAATATATGTAACTTATTAGAGGCAAACAGGTCATTTCTAATGTAAAAAGAGGTTCTACCAAAAATACATAAATAAATAATGAGAAAAATATCAACATGGCAGTAGAAAATGAGTAAAAGACATGCATAAAGAGCTAAAAAGTGAAATGCAATTAGCTCTTAAATATTTGAAATGACAGCCTCGCTTCAAAGGAAAGTAAACAACAGAAATCAGGTAAGTCTCCCTCCTGCTTCAATTGCTTCAAAGGTGATTCATTCTTCAAATAAATTCAGCCTCCTTACTATGAGCCACACTGACTTCCTTGCTCTTCTTTGAACAGGCCTGGCTCTTTCTCGCCTCAAGGGCCTTCACACTATTTCCTCTCCCTGGCATTTCACACTTCAAAAAAGCAAAGCCCACAGTTTTACAGAGGCCCTTCCCGGCCTCCCCATCTAAAGTGACCACAGTTACTCTCCATCATATCTCTTGATTGTAGTTCTCTTCACAGCATTTATTATTTGTTTTTGTTTTTCAATATCTGGGTTATCTTATCTGTGAGTCTGCATCTACTGAGTATTTTTCCTCTTGTTCATGGGTCACTTTTTCCTGCTGCCTACATGTCTAGTAATTTTTATTATATACTGGACATTGTTGATCATATTATAAGGAGACTGGACTTTTTATTGTATATCAGACATTGTGGGTGATATGTTACAGGGAATCTGGATTTTTTTTTATGTTCCTATGAAGAAGGTTCAGTTTTGTTCTGGCAGGCAGTTAAATTACCGGTGGATCACCTTGATCCTGCGGAGGCTTGGTTTTCAACTTTGCTAGGGTGGGGTTGTTTGGGCTTTGCCTTTTGTCTTAGGGTGTGGCTCTTAGCCTTGGATTTAATCATAAAGTGAGGCCTCTCTGGGGTTTCAAAAGAAAACCTTAGGTGATTATCAAGCCCCTCTAACTTGGTAGAATTTGAATTCCAAACTGTTTCCTCAGCACCAAGCAGCAACTGAAACACCTGCCTCCCAGGTGCTGTTTCTTGCTGGGCTGCTTAGATTCACCCTGCAAATGCACAGCTTAGGAGTCCTCAATGATGTGAGGAGGATTTGTAGAAGGAATCTCTATGACTCATTCCTTTCCAGCATTTTCCCTCTCAATGTTTAGCCTTTCTGGTAGCCCCAAACTCTGTCCTCTGTTTTTGCAGATCAGTAAAACTGTCACTATCTGTTTGAGCTCCTCAAACTGGACAGTGTGCTCAGGGAGAAAAGCTGATTCAATATGCCACTCACCTAGTTTGCTTTTTTCTTTCAATTATTTTTCCTCTCTGCATCTGTCTTGTTTTAATTGCTCTCCAGTGCCTTCAAACCTCTCTATTTTATAGTTTATCCTTAGTCTACAAGCATTCTTGGCCACAGAATTAGACTGATACAAGCTACCATGCCATTTCTAGAACCAGAACTCACTGACTTGCTGTTGTTTATTTTCTCTGTCTCCGTCTTATTCATAAGATTCTGAGGACTTCCTCTGTCTTCTCCACCACTGTATTCCCGGCACCTATAACTCTGCCCAATACACAGTAATGCTTAAAAAATGAACAAATGAATGAATCTTATGCCTAGATAATGATCACAACCAGTCAGCCTATCTTTCTGCTTCTTGTCCCAGCTGCCAGAATAATTTTCCTAAAGCACAGTGCCCACAGCCCCCATCACTAGTGCTCAAAACACCACAGGGGAAGGGCTGGTGGGGCAGGGATCCTGTTACTCTATCCTCGGACAGCGCCTGGATGGGGTTCCTCTCTGGGAAAGACACTGGTGATCTTCCTGAAGGACCACTAGGGCGACTGCCACAGCTAATCCTCCCCTGTCTCTGGGTCCTCTGCCCTTAACCTGCTCCTTCCTTTCTGCTCTGGACTGAATGTTTGTGTCCCACCCCCACAACCCCTCCACCAAATTCAACCCCCAAGATGACAGTATCAGGAGATGGGGACCTTTGTGAGGTGCTTAGGTCATGATGGCAGAGCCCTTGTGAATAGGATTAGTGCACTTATAAAAGAAGCCCCAGAGAGACCCTTGCCCTTTCAACCATGTGAAGTTATAGTGAAAGATGGCTGTCTCTGAGGAAACAGGTCCTCACAAGGCACGGAATCTGCAGGTGCCTTGATCTTGGGCTTCCCAGCCTCCAAAACTGTGAGAAATAAATCTCTGCTGTTTATAAGCCACTTGTTTATGGTATTTTCTTATAGCAGTCCAAACAGACTAAGACACCTTTCAATCACCTTCCAGAAACCATAAACTAGCCCCAGGACTTGATACAGGCCCTGCCCAAGCTTCCTTTAAGAACTGGGTATTTGATCTCAGAAACTCCACTCCAGCAAGGACAGTCAGTAGTGATGGAAAGTGGCCCTTGGCAGGGGGTATGGAAAGGGCCTGGGACCGGAAAAGGGAGAAAGTGTTGCTTGCTTTTAAAGATGCTTTGCAGAGATAGGACTGGAAAATGAGGCCCAAAACTTCACAGGAGCCTGCAACAGCCCAGCGGTATCTGCCCCTCCTCCCCAGCCCAAAACCCACATGTGCTAAATCAGTTCCAGCCTGGCTGCAGCAGTTATAACAAATGGCAAAGGAAGTGTCCGGAAGAGGTCCATGTTAGTTGTCAAGGGTCACTCTCAGGGTCAGGCCGATCTCCCCTCACCTAACAGATGAGGAAACTGAGACCCAGAAAGGGAAACAGATTAGGATGTCCAATTGCAGTACCTTTCAAGGCCTCAGTTTCCTCTTGTCACAAGGCATGGCTTAGAGCCTCCTCCTCCCTCTGATGTCCTAGGTTCTGGGTTCGAATCCACCTAACTTACTGGAGCACCTGCTATGTGCAGGGCATGTTCCAGACAATCCTGGGGCCACGAGGAAAATCACAGCACTGTCCTTGCCCTTGCAAAGTTTGTATCCAGTTAGAGAAGAACTGTGGGTTGGGACACAGCAGGGAATGAGGGCAAACAAGCCCGTGAAATCCCAGGTGTCCTGGGGTGTTGGAGAGAGCTCTGTGCCTCCCAGGGGCCAGGAGACTCGATCAAGGCAGAGATCTGAAGAAACTGAGGCTCCGGAAGAGGCAGAGGGTGAAGAATACAGATCACAGAATTGCTCTGGCAGCAAATGAGAAAAGAACGAAGAATCAAGGAGCAGAGAGAGGCCCGAAGAGAGCTACAAAGCAGAGGAGAGGCTGAGGGGGATTCTCGTAGGTGGGGCCTGGGGATTCTGCCAGGCTGTGGGCCAAGGGGCTCTTGGGAAAGCATTTTCCACCCAAAGTTGATGGGTGGGCCTGAGCCTTACAGAAAGGAGGCTATTTCTCCAGGGCCCAATGGAGCAAGAGAGCTAAGGGGAAAGGCAGGGGAGCAAAGGCATGTGGAGAACGGACTCTGCGTCCTGTGTGCCCAGACTCTCACCAAGCACCTGTAAAGAGGGCAGAGGGAGGTCCCAGTGCAGAGGCCGGGTGCCCCCCATCCTGAGGAGGCCCCTCCAGCCTCACTCACCCTCAAGCCTCGCTCTACATCCCTGGGAGCATCGGGTGTCAGGGCAGGGAGTGAATGAAAATGCCCATCTTAGAGGGTGCAGGGCCCCTCATGGGGATCTTGGGATTGTCCTCCACGAGGACAAAGGTGACCTCCTGTATTCTGCTGGCAATCACACCATGCCTAGCACAGTGCTACGTATCAAGCTGTGGCCCAATATGTACTCGGTCAGTGAATGAATAAATGAATGAAGCCTGGCAGGGAGCTATGCACTGAGCACTGGCTGGATGTGATTCATTCATTCATTCACCCAATTATGCTGAGAATTTCATAGATGCCCGGCATGCTGTTAGGCACCAAGTACATACGGTGATCAATATAGACAGGATCCCAGCTCTTATTGCCATATGGTCTGGCAGGGCATAGGGCTCGACATGGAAGATATGATAACAGAATCCTTGACCTCACTGAGCCGTCTGCACTCTCTGGCCTTTGCTTTTGTCCGCCCAGCAAACCCCCCATCCCCTTCTTCTTCTATATACAGTCATGCATAACTTAATGATGGGGATATGTTCTGAGAAACGCACTGTTTTCATTATGTGAAAGTGTATGAGGGGTCTTCAAAAAGTTCATGGAAAGATTCATATTTTCTTTCAATTCCATTTTTCCACAAACTTTTTGAACTACCCTTGTATCACAAAAGGGAACAGCAATGAATTTTCCTATTATCTACACCGGCCACTAGTTGCATGCCCAGGGACCCTCTAATTATGTCACTAAG